CATCTGGTTCGTACCTCTCTTGAAATGGGATGTCCAACACTGAACACAGCATTCTAGGGGAGGCCTTACTAACGGAAGGGATGGCAGCAGAACTTTTCTTCAAAGTAGACGACCCAGATTGCAAAACAAATTAATAAATAAACAACACAAAGCAACAGTAAGATACTACTGACTTGGGTTCAGCTCATTATTTCTTACAAGTTGTGGATCTGCCTTCTGTGCAACTGCTGCATGGGTCTGTATAAGTTCCTGTGTAAGTACAGCACTTTGCATTTTTCTTTATTGAACTGTACCCTACTTTCTTCAGGCCATTTCTCTGCTTTTCAAGATCATATTAAATTCAAAAACGCAAGTGACTTTTTCCTGTTTGGTGGTATCTATAAACTTAAAACACCAGTTAAGAGGCAGGAAAAACAATTATTTGAACATTGATATAACACTGGTTAAGAAAACATCCCGCATTTTAGAATCTGGAACCTTAAATAAAACTTCATCATTTACTGTGGATGCTTTCCTCTAAGTTGTACTGCATTTTTTGCCGTGCAAGTAATTTACATTTTACACAGCATGAGTTCACAGCTCCTTCATAACTCACAAATTGTCTTAACATTTTAAGGAACATTTTCTAGGATAAGATTTGCATATGTCAGTGTTTCTCCAAGGCATGTGAAAACCAAAATAAAAAGGCTATTGTCTAACAAAAATACGTCACTGATCAACGTTCTTCCTATATGCACACTATCAGTGTTTTTCAGATCCTGTCATATGAGTGATTGCTCATTTTCTGATAGTTATCAGAAATAATATATTCCAATAATATTCCAAGCCTTTAGTTCAACCACAAGGCTTTTTTTCCCCGCTACCAAAGAGCTCAGAGCTATTGTCAAGGCTTCCTGTATGATCCTCCGTCGGCTCAGCAGCTCTAACCACTGAAATTAACTGCATTGTTTTATTCATTAGAGATAAAGCAGAGATAAGAGAACGAGAACAACCTCTGCTGAATACTGTAGATCATTAAGCACATCTTCATTAATGGCTTTTAAAACTAATTTTTGAAATTCCAAAAAATGAGGGATAAAAAGTATCTTATGGACCCATGTGCTATGAAACTTTAGAAGTGACTTTGGGGAATTTTGGAGAAGGGCGTTTGGTCTGTTGGGTTCCGCGATGTATTGGTTTGAGGGGCTGACTAAGCTGCATTGCTGGTAGAGGCTGAGGAGCATGTGGACAAGCCCAACAGTGACATTTCTAGTATTTGCTTATATTTATCCAACTCTGTCAAGAAAAAAGTACGCTCTTGTCAGAGATTGCACTCACTTAACTAAATCAAATCTAGCTAGCTCAGCCCACATCAAAACAAGACAAGTTCCCCGGAAGGCCGCAAGATTTGTGGGTAGTTCTCAGAGAGAAACAGCCTTCGCTGAAGATGCCTGTATGAATGACAGCACTGTAGACTGTGTGAGAAAGACATTTGAACATTCCTCCTCACGTGCTATCTTTTCAACCTTCCTTTGGGCAAAAGAAAATCCAAATCTCTTCTTTCTTCCTACTTAAAAATCAGTCTTGTTAACAAAAAGCCAAATCCTTAAACAGATGTAAACAAGGAAAACAGAACCCAGGCAGAGAGCACAAGCAGGGAAACGGGACCCCTAGTTAGCAGTGACTTCTGCTGCCATTTTCAGCCCCGAAGGTCTTCAACTCTCAATGTTTTGAATCTGTGCACATCCCACAATGTGTCAACTTTGACAGGCTTTGGAGTTCAGCGGATAGCCATGCAGACACCTACTCAGAGCCTAGAAATTGACACCTAACTCCCTGAAGAAGATCTTATTTTCAAAATATAATTTCTTTGGAAATGACAAAACTTCATGCAGAATGCAGTGACAGGTGAAAATGAAATTTAAGATTTGGCTAGAGAAGTAGCTGCCTCTTCTTGTTTTCTACCAATTTTTTAGCATCCACACAGACTATAGAGACCGGTCATTTCCTCCTTGACCCAGAGCTAGTCAAGCTCACATCTTCCACCTCCAGAAGGGGTCCTAGTCACCCAAGCTGTCCTTAAAAGGTGGGGGAGAGGGACACTTTTCGTCACTCTGGTGGAGGTATGGTCCTTCCATTTTCCATAAAAGAAATTGGGAGCTAGAAATCAGGAGCTAGAAAACAGATATATGCTGCAGCATAGCAGCTGGGGTAGTCACAGAGGAAAGATGACAATTCCATAGAAACATAGCATCGCAGAATGGTTTGGGTTGGAAGGGACCATAACAGATCATCTAGTTCCAACCCCCCTGCCATGGGCAGGGACAACTCCACTAGAGCAGGTTGCTCAAAGCCCCATCCAGCCTCATCTTGAACACTTCCAAGGGTGGGGCAACCACAGCTTCTCTGGGCAACCTGTTCCAGTGCCTCACCACCCTCACAGTGAAAAATTTCTTCCTAATATCTAACCTATATCTACCCTCTTTCAGTTTAAAACCCTTACGCTTCATCCTATCACTCCACTACCTCATTAAGAGTCCCTCCCCATCTCTCCTGTAGGCCCCCTTCAGGTACTGGAAGGTCATTATAAGGTCTCCCCAGAGCCCTCTCTTGGCTGAACAATCCCAACTCTCTCAGCCTGTCTTCATAGGAAAGGTGCTCCAGCCCTCTGGTCATTTTTGTGCCCCTTCTCTGGAGCCACTCCAACAGGTCCATGTCTTTCCTGTGCTGAGGGCTCCAGAGCTGAACATAGTACTCCAGGTGGGGTCTTAAAGAGCAGAGTAGAGGGGGAGAATTTCATGTCAGATATATCCTCATTTCTAAGCAAACTACTCCCTTGGCAGTGAAAAACCAACAAGAAGGGCAGAGCTGACTCATTCTCCAAGTCATAAGAGCCACCAGTTACGGCAGTCCTTCAGCCAACCTCAGACTTGAATACCCACAGGCAGAGAATGTGCCTAATTCCAGCTCTACATGACTTTGAGCTGATCCCATTGGATTTCAAAGGGATAGGGTGCCAAAACACAGAAAACACAGCAGAAAGACCCTGTACTCAGGTTCCCCCAGTGGTCAGCTTGAAGCAGCTCCTAGTTATACACATCAGCAATCCTAAGTCTCATGGCAGAATCACAGAATCACAGAATCATAGTGGTTGGAAGGAACCTCAGAGATCATCGAGTCCAACCACAAAAAAAAACAAAAAAAAACAAAACAAAACAAAAAAACCCAACC